TTCTGGTGTTCACAGTACCGGTACGCTGCCCAGAATGTTCAAAACACCTGTAAATCATACTCCACTTGCTTGGGAGTCCCACTATTGATTCTCCCACTTGCCCCCTGACATATTCTACATATATACATGCCTCCTACACCNAATTTTTGCTCAATCGGATGGTTGAATACAAAGTTATGACAATTCTACAAAAACTAGTCCATAGCAGACAGTACCGATATGTAGTACCGGTACACTTTAGCTTCTGGTGTTCGCAGTACCGGTACGCTGCCCAGAATGTTCAAAACACCTGTAAATCATACTCCACTTGCTTGGGAGTCCCACCATTGATTCTCCCACTTGCCCCCTGACATATTCTACATATATACATGCCTCCTACACCCCAAAGTTAGCAAAGGAAGGTGGAGGATGGGAGAAGAGGAGAGAGAAAGATGGAAGCTTGGTGTGTTGCAAGCTAGATTGTTCCTTGCCTATGCAATGCATCAACTCAGCCTCTTATGGATGGGAGGCCTTTCACACACCTAGGGGGACCCCTATGGATGAAAATGCAGAGGTTCTTCACCATGTATTCAACATTCACAAGCCATTTTTGAGGGTGTGGCTACCTAAACTTAGAAAGCTCCAAGGAAGAAGATGATGAATAGTAGATAGAAATTTATGTTTTTGTATTTTCCTTTTCATTTCAGTTGTAGTAAGCTTTAAATTTCTTGTAATCCTTAACTCTTGCACTTTAATCTTATTTATTTCAAGTATATTGCAAGTTAGTTACATGTTCTAGTTTCCACCATTGTTGTTTTCAAGTTTTCTTTATTTCCTAGCTTTAAAATGGGTATTGCATATTTTTGTTCATAGATTAAGATTTCTTGCATTAAGTTAAGTTCCATGTTCCATTTCTTCATTATGTCTTTTTACATTATGCATGTCTTTCCTTTTTGCATGAGTAGCTAGAGTTTTAGTTGGCTAATCCAAGGAGACCTCCTCTTGGGTATACTATTTTAACTCATCCCCTTTCCTCACCTCGGTATACGGTGGCTCGGTGTGACTGGGTTGAGTGTGGACCAGAGTGTGAGTCTTTGATATCNAGACCTCCTCTTGGGTATACTATTTTAACTCATCCCCTTTCCTCACCTCGGTGTACGGTGGCTCGGTGTGACTGGGTTGAGTGTGGACCAGAGTGTGAGTCTTTGATATCCCGTAGGCATTGTCACGGGTTATGATTGGATCCTAACTTCCATTTTGTCCTTCACTTCCCATAAATCAATCGTTCATTAACTCACCATTGGAGGAAGGCTTCGAGTTGATTTGAGATTCTCATTGGAATGAACCTTTTAGATTAGCCAACATTTTTTTTCATTTCATTTTCCTTAAAAACACAACTCACCAAAACTCAAAACAACTAAAGATTTTATAATTTTACATTTTCACAAAATCACCTTCACACACTTGAACTTTCCTTCCCTGAGGAGNATTGGATCTTAACTTCCATTTTGTCCTTCACTTCCTATAAATCAATCATTCATTAACTCACCATTGGAGGAAGGCTTCGAGTTGATTTGAGATTCTCATTGGAATGAACCTTTTGGATTAGCCAACATTTGTTTTCATTTCATTTTCCTTAAAAACACAACTCACCAAAACTCAAAACAACTAAAGATTTTACAATTTTACATTTTCACAAAATCACCTTCACACACTTGAACTTTCCTTCCCTGAGGAGACGACCTTGGAATACTTTTTCAAGTAAAACACGACATTCAAAAGACTCCTTGCGCTTTGGGAGCACTTTTGTTCACAACATTACACACATTTTGTACATTTCATATTCTACCATTCTATTGCCCCCTTTTCCCCCATCATTCCAAGGGAGAGTGACACTCCTCCATTCCTATAAGCCATACACATTGAAGGATGATGTTAAGAGGTTAGGGAATACAACAGAAACAACCAAGCATCCTGGACTCGCTATCAGCAACAAATTTGAGAAGACAAACTTTGGTCTCCTCTTCATTGTCCCACATTGAGGGCCTGGCCCCCTAACAGCTGGTGTCACCCCTTTGTCAATGGGTTTGTCCTTAGAAAGCTTCTTCTTCCCTTCAACCTTTGATGGAACAGGAGAAGAATGAGGGAGGGGGGGGTTAGAAGAGGGACTTCAGGAATAGAAGGCCCTATTTATACGAGCCTGCATGGTCCATAGTGGCCTCCTCAGTAGTCTTGGTGCATAGGGAACTGACTAGAAGTAAGGGTGTGCGTCAGATAGAGTCTTAGAGCTCAAAAGGATTATGAAATGCATAGGAGAATTAGAAATAACTATCTTGGGCTTGGCGAGGATAGCCTGGGCCTCTTAAGGCGTGGGGTCCCACTCGCCAGATCCTTGGATGCCTTAACTTCTTTCAGAAGCTTCTTATCAACAACCTTGGGAGCCATTTTTGCAAGTCATAGAAACAAGGACTCAATATTCAAAAAGGAAAGAAAATAACATAAAATTTGAAACACTACTTACTGTTTGGTGGGGCAAGGACTTGGTGTGAATGGCAACACGATAGCTTTCGGGGCAGGGCCCAACTAGTGCTTGAATAGTGTTTGGTTAGTGACTAGGTTGGGCATGCTTTTGGTATGATAAGCCAAACTTTTCTCCATCCGAGCCTTGAGTTCAATAGGAAGAGAACTAGTCTTGCCTACACCAAGAGAGCATATTAGTCCAAATCTAAAAAGGAAGGGCTAGAAGAAAGAACTAGACAAACTCACGCAGTGAAAGATGAGATGATCCCCAGAGTCGAGGGATCAATACCAGTCTTCCGATAAGGGGGTCAGAAGGGCCAAACTCCCAACCAGGCCTGGACACGAAGAAAAACTTATTCTTCCATTCCTTCACACTAAAGGAATAGCCCGTAAGAAGCTCAATTTTCTCCCTTTTCGAGCAGGGTGTGAGTTTGTAGTTGTGTAGGAAAACTGAGATGGTTGAATGAGGACCCACACCATTGGTTCTTGCCCAAAGAACACCAATACCAATTAAAAACCTCAACTATTTGGAGTTAATTGAGAAAGGACAAGGTTCAAGTAGTGAAGAGCTTCCCTAATGTATTGTGGCATAGGGAATTGAAGGTCGCACTTGAAGATCAATTCATAGAAGCACACGTTGTTGCTCGCAAAAGATTCTGCGATTACCTTTAAGAAAGGGATTCGGATGCGAACAAAAGGGGGAATTTGATAGAGTTCCCTAAGTTTGTCTAGGACTTTCTCGCCAAGAGAGCTTTGGAATTACATTGCACCTNTGAAGATCAATTCATAGAAGCACACGTTGTTGCTCGCAAAAGATTCTGCGATTACCTTTAAGGAAGGGATTCGGATGCGAACAAAAGGGGGAATTTGATAGAGTTCCCTAAGTTTGTCTAGGACTTTCTCGCCAAGAGAGCTTTGGAATTACATTGCACCTACTGCTACAATGGAAGAGGAAGTGATCTCTAAGATGGAATATGGTTCTTCATTAGCACTATCGGCTTTGGCCATAAAAGATGCATGTTTCCAGAGAGAGTTCGCTCTGAGTCACTCATTGTTGGGAAACAGTGGTGGTGAATGTACAAATTAGGTGGAAAAAGGCAGGAAGAATTATGGGAAAGAAGAGTTAAGCAAGGATCAAAGATAGATTCAAGCTGGAGTTGGGAGAATTGATCAACAAAGAGGTTTTTAGGTGATCAAGATCGAAACCCTTCAGCTTGAGAAAATAGAAACGGTAGAAGTAAAATTGAAAGGTGTGACTCCAACCTAAATACTCTTGTTTAAAGAGTTCAAGCAAATCAGAAAAAAATCAAGAAGATTGAGATCAAGGGAGAGAAGCGTACCCCGGCTCTTGGAAGAGTTCTTGAGCCGGGCTGGACTCTGATAGCGAGGCATGTTTAAATCCCAGCCACATAATGGCTCTTTGGCGATTACATGCAGACGAGCCACGATGTTGCTTCCCGAGGCACTAACGAACAAGAACATTAAATGCGGAATAAGTGTAAGTCATGTCAAGTTAAACTGGGGGCAACTGATAAATAGGGAAATAGCATGTGCTCGGAATGCCAAGCTAGGAAGCTTAGCATAGCTCCAGCTCAATACCTAACCACTCCCTAACCCCTCTGGAACTCGACAATATTCTACTCTTATGGAACCTTTAGTTTGACTCAACTCCCACTTCCACGTAGCTGGCAAAAACTAGTTCAATAGAGCAAAGTAACTAATTTAGCTAAAGTAGGCGGAGCAAGATCCACTAATGGCCTAACCACACGGCCTATAAGAGGGGAGCCACATAGGAGATCGAGGAACGTGATAAAAGCTAAATCTAAAGCTTCCTTTGATCCTCAGAATCCCTTCAACTGACTTAATCATCGGAGGGTCGATCCCTGGAACCCTTCCGGTCTCCGACTTGTCCTTGTAGGTACCAAAGGATTGTTCTAGCTCACTGTTGGCTTTGAAGCTCTATGGACATTCTGAACCATCATCAGTTACTAATATTTTGTTTTAATTTACCAACATTGTGATTGAGGTTACGACCATTTGGGCGCGACTTTAAGACAATTTGGGGTAAAGTTGGATAAAAAATATCATCATTTGAAATGATATTACAACGGTTGAAGATGAATTTATCACCATTTGTGTTGAAATTACTACCATTTAAGGTGATATTTCCACCGACTAGAGTAGTATTATGATAATTTAAGGTGATGATACAAGTATTTCGGGTGATAATACCGACTAAATAGGTAATAAGTCACTCACTTCAAAGAGTTGATTGTGACAAAGTATTGATCAATGGTTGAAGTCCACTTTCTTCAAAATCTATGATTGATATTGTATTTCAGTATGATACCAAAACAAATGTGCTTTTTCGGTACCCTAGCCGGATCCTAATGCTTAATACAACTAGCTCACAACTTTTTTGGTGTAGGGTGCAGGGTGTTTTAAGCATTAGGAGCTAGTTGATTGATATTGTATTTCAGTATTAGATGACAGTTATAATCTTTGATTTAAGAAAACTCTGTAATACATCCTATAACGTTGCAGCAATGTAGCTTTAGAGTTCATTGTTGTTAGCAAAAATAATAGCTACAGTTGGATTACAATGAATGTCAATGCTAGCATATCTATGCTGCTAATTGAAGGTGAGCTGATCAAAGCCCCCTCGAAAATTTAAGAGCCCCAAACCCATAATTAATCTTCACAACCCTTCCCCTGCTCGTTGCAGGACTCCCCTAAGCTCGTCTGCCATACCTTGTAAAAGAACAGGTTTGCGAATGAGTCCATTCATCCCCACCTGAAGGCATCTCTCCCACACATTTTCCTCAGCACTTGCAGTCAAGGCTATGATTAATGGCCAATTACGGCTTCTAAAATTCCGGATCCTCATTGCCACTTCAAACCCATCCATATCTGGCATGTGAATATCCAAAACGACAACTTGGAAAGAAGTAGTAGAGGGGCCTAGGGCACTCAAGCATTCAGACCCAGATGAAACAGCAGATACCTGGCACCCCAGCTTCTCGAGCAGCTTTTTGGTCACTGTTCTGTTTACGTCATCGTCGTCAGCTAGGACAACTTGAAGGCCTCGGAACATGGGGTTAATATTTGGTGCCTCTGAAGCCTTTCCAAAATCAAAGAAAGACGGTTGGACTTGAAATCGAAGAATAAGGGTCATGCTTTGTGCATGACCCATGGAATTTGTAGACATCCAGATATTTCCTTGCATCATCTGCAATTTTTAGTCAATGAAGAGTTAGAAGTCAAAGTATTGCCATCTTTAGAAGTCAAAGTATTGCTGATTTGACTGTCTATCATGCATATGAATAACAGGCAGTAGATCAAACATGGGAATAGAAATCAGAATGCACCAATATTCAGATTCTTTATGAACCACTTAAGGCAGTATAACAAACTCAGATTACTTTACCTATGCCTAAATGAAAAAGTAGAGGCCGTTCTTCTCAAAATTGTTGTCGCTATGGATACATTTTAAAAGACAAAACATCAATTCATTCAAAATAGTAATACGATGAAACAAAATAAACCAAGCTCTACAAAACATCTGCATTGACCTATCCACTGGAAGGAAGTTCAAAGAGGAGGAAGAGTTGAACCATTGTCCACCTTTAAGGTAACCCTTAAACATAATAATTTTGCGACTTTTTCAAAACTACATGTAACAAGATACCTTGAGAATCCCACTACTTTTAATTCTCAATGAATAAGGCAAGGTACAAACCAATAAAAAATTGGACTAAGAACACCTTTAGGCCTCGTTTGGATTATAGTAATCTTAAATAGGAATGGATATCCCATTTCCAATAATGAGATACCCATGTTTCAACTACTATAATAATCTTATATCTAGTGTTTGGTTATTGTCAGTAATCTAGTGAGGTAATTAACATCTATTTCAAGTGCTTTTTGGGAATGAAATTAATTTTAAAAAGGAGATTATTTTAGAAATGAAGTTAATTTTAGGAAGGAGCACGACTTTGAGATTTTTATTCTTTCTTTAGAATACCCAATCAATGTAGGTTTGAGATTACCACCATGGACCATTGGTTTAGGATACCCGTCATTGGAAATTTGATTAAAACAATAATCTTATTCCTGATTTGAATTACCGAGTAATTTTATTTTGAACAGGATTACCAAGTAATTGACTATGCAAACATGATAACCTAGGGATTCATGAATGCTATTCCCATTCCTGAATCCCTAGAACGGGTTATCCATATGGAAATTAAGTATTTCAGTCTGAGAATGAATCTGCTAAAATGCAACTTTAAAAGTAACCAGTGGTAAATTCTTGGGGCCTTATGGAACAAAATCAAGTTGTAACAGTGCCATAAGAACCAAAAGCAATACAATCCAAGGAAAATTCAGAAGGTTCAGAAGGTATTCAAGGTAATACTCTAGAAGCTCATTATAAATGCCATGAAACATGAAATGAAGGCATATGAAATGCAATGCAACACACTGACACAATATTGCGAATCCATAGGAAATCCAAATATGCACTGGGAAGTATTTTTAACTACTACCTCATCGATTAATCAAACTGCGCAGCAAGAGGTATACATCAGAGATTCTCACCTGCACGAGTTTTTTGCACATTCTGAAGCTCAGTCCCTCCTTTATCTCCTTGCTGTTATGCCTCCTACCACCAAAATGAATGGTAGAAACTGAGCCATCTGATTGAGAATCTCCATTACTAATTTCAATTTCAAATTTTATGCTGACGTACTCATCAGCTGTGTTTGGTCTCCTTATTCCCCAAAGTTTATCATTCCTGCCCTCATGGTCACTTTCTGAAACAACCCGGAATATAACAGAGCCCACTCCATCACTGACATTGAATATATGCCCAACCATATGTAACAAGACCTGAAAACTCCTCCGCTCATCACCTATCACCTGGTTAGGCAAAGAGTTTGGAACATCTATAGAAAAACCAAAGCCCCTATAAACACAAAAGCACTTAACAAGACAAGAAGCTTCCTTAATCATAGAGTGTAACCGAAAGGTCCTCGTGTCCAATGGAAACCTTCCATTATCTTTGGCTGATATCTCCATTACATCATTTATTAAAGCAGAGAGAACACTGTTTGTTTTCATCATTGTGTCAACAATTATCCTCTGTTCAGGGTTCATATTCTCATCCTGATACATTGAAAGTAAGCCCAAAATTGAGTGCATTGGCCTCCTCATCCCATTGCTCATCACCTTTTGAAAAGAGCATCTCGCCTGGCTTGCCATCATTGCATTCTCTTTAGCCTGTTGCAGCGCACGATTTTGCTCTCCTAGTTTCTCTCTCATTAGTTGTGACTCCTCAAGAACTGAAGCATGGGACAGAGCCACAGCCACCTGATCAGCAACCACTTCCACTACTTCCATTTCATTATAGCTCCAACTTTTATCGTTTGCAATAGGAAGAACCAAAACCAAAATGGCATAACAAGTCTTGACCTGCTCCGGCGTCCCTCCTTTGAAATTGGAAACTCGAAGCATTGGCATCCGAATTGCAGCCACAGCACCTGACTCAGCAGCCTCACCACTGCTTGCAGTACCAAGCGCAGACTCTGGTCTCAAAATCCTCACCCCCTTGTTCTTTGTTATCTCTAGTACATCTGGGTCATTTATGGGAAGAGAACTATGATAATCTTCTGAAGAACTTGCCTTTAGCTCGTGTGTCAGGTTCATCTCTGTCTTATTCTCATTTGGCATCCAAACTGCACAATTCTGCAGATCCAAGGTATTGGAAAGCTCAACTAGGGTAGTGTACAATATTGTGTGTTTATCAAGTGACTTTCTAATTTCCTGAGTCAGCATTCTGACATCCCAGCTTGCTTCTTTCTGTTTCTTCATCATCCCCACCTCTTGGTCTAGCTCCAACACATTTTGCTTCAAGAATAGCTCTCTCACTTTCACTTTGAGAAGAAGGGGTATCAAAGTCAAAAGAGTTATAGCAGTTGCACAAGACACAAGTGCGGTGAGAATTTTGGCAATGGTAAGGGCCAACATCAACTGGAAGGAGTGAGGACCATAATATGTCCACCCATTGAGCAAATGGGTCAATCCACAAAGGACTATAAATGCAATGAATTGGACAAGGACCCATTTAAATGGTACATTTGAGCAGCTAATGAAGTACAGTAACTCGATGGGAATTGAAAAATAAGCTACTGCAATCAAGAAATCACTCACTTTTTGGCACTCTAGAATGCTTTGTATGCTCCACAGGCCCTCGTCCTCACAAGGACAATGGGAAAATCCATTATCAATGGCCAACACAGAGGTGATCAGAGAAGTAATCAACAATCCAAAAGCTAGCAATTTCAACATTGCAACAAAGGAGACACTTTTCTAATTCATCTCGTTATACAAATTTGAATCTGTTAGGTCATCTCCAGTCCTTACCCAAACTTATACTCAAATTTAAATTTGGGTAAAAATGACCTAAAAATCTTCAATATTTGACTCAATAAAAAAAAAGAAGGGAAACTCATTTTTTGACCCAAATTGAGAGAGCATCAAACCTTTTTACTCAATTACCAACGGTCATACTTGAGAGTAGACCAGACTGTGTTCTCTCCTCCTTTGTATCGTGACAGACCTATTCCACTGACAGGCTTCCTAAATCTGCCTCTTTTCCGTCACCACCACAGGCCATGGAAGCTGCGAAGAGAAATAGTGCTCATCATCACCTTCTATAAACCAAGTTTCAGGGAACACAGACAAATCTTTCAATGCAGATGACTACCGCTTAAAAAACCCAGAAAAAAAGAAAAGAAAAAGCAATGAATACAAGTTATCAGATCAAATAACGAGCAATAGAAAGAAAGAAGGACCCTCGTTGAAGGCATGATTAAATCGAAATAGGAGTCTTGAAATGGTAAAAATCTATACCCTTTTCTGATTTTCTAAACACTTTTGCGAATGATCTCAATCTACCTGAAGCAAAAATCCTTTGAACATAAGCCCAACACCCCAATTTTTTTTGGTTTGAGTGACATATACCTGATAAAATAATATTATAATCCAATCAACCACGTTCTAGATCTAGCTTACCCATATGCCTCAAGATCTAACGTATCCATGTAGTCAAACCCTGAAAATTTCAATTCTTCCTCAGTGTGACAACTGGTTTTTCAATCCCCAATAAGTACGTTTAACACAATCCAGAAACTTGTATTCTCTTCAACTCAACAAGTATATTTTTCGGAAGAAAAAAACAAATTAACCACCAAGATGGAAAAACCACCAATCTCTAATTACACAAAGACACACCCAGTCACCCACATAGAGAGAGAGAGAGAGAGAGACCTGATATTAATGATCAAGAAAAGGGGGTGCCCATAGCAACAGAGCTCGTCTCTTTCGACACAAAACTAACTTCAACCTTGTTGCCCGTTTTCCCACTCACTTCCAATGCCCAATCTTTGACTCGCACAAGAGAAAACAACCCGCAATTGCAGACAGAACCACCCTAGTGCAAATTGACACTAAAATACCAACGAGGAGTTAAATTATACCCACCACCCCATATATTTTAAAGAGACCAGACGCACTCATTGAATATAAGAATCCAAGTGTTTTAGATAGGAGAGAGAGAGATAACCATTTTTCTGGAGATTCCATGCTCAACTAAAAAAAACTTTGGCTCATTGATGAAGAAGAAAGATTTTGCATATGTTCTCCGATTGACCCATTGCCTTCTCTCTCTCTCTCTTTCTCCCTCGCTAGATTTTTGTGTCTTGTACGCTCTCTCGCCCTCTATAACTTTTTCTTTTGACGGTTTTTTTCGAATAATATTGTTTAAATTTAAAATTTTGATATAATTTAATGATTTAATGACGTGTCTTAAAAAAAAATTATTGAATTAATATTAAATTTTAATGTTTAATTCGACCTCTGATCAATTTAAAATTTACAATAAATTAAATTAATAAATTAAATTAAAATTTTAAATTTTAATAATATTGCTCTTATTTCCCTCGTACAAAAGGCAGATGAGAGAGAGAAGATGAAAAACAAACTATGAGAAAGTGTGTGAAGTCTTGGGTAGATGTGGAACCCTCAGAGAGGCGCTGTTCAGAGAGGCACACAGCGCTTCAGATGGTGTGGATGTGGGACCCACAACTTTTTACGTGAAAAGAACCTGGACACTCTGTTTTCTGCATTCTCGTCAACCGTCAATCACACCGGAGTTAAATAAAGTGGATTGTATGCAACTCCAATGTGGAATTTTTTCTGTACTACTCACGTGTAATCCTGCCTAATTACTCACCGTTGGATGATCAGATCTGACAACCGGGGCCTACAAGCGGAATAAATATTTTATTTATAATACCTTTTCATTTCCATCCCAGCATAAGATATAATATTTTTTATTACATAATAATATTACGTGACATTAATAAACGCGTCTTACCTTTTCCTATACCTTTAATTTAACTTTATACTTTCAAAAAATGCTCGAATTATCAATTTGTATTCTAAAAAATTATGGGTATATTTTAATATGTTCTCAAAAAATAATATTTAAAAATATATTTTTGAGAATAGTTTTAAAAAATTATATTTAAATTTTTTATATACAAAATATGTTTAGTTATACCATTCTGAAAACAGTTTTAATAAACAAAAAAATAACAAACATGTTTGGGTAGTGATGGTGCTGGAAAATGATAGCCTAGGTTTAGAACCACATTCAAATGGCCTAAAGAGGGTGTAGAGCAAGTAAATGGATTACAACTGGAAAAAACAATGAGAGAAAAGCGAAGACATTATGTAAGTGGTTCACCCTAGTTGAAAAATTAAGGTTACGTCCACTGTAAAGGAATCTCTTGTTCGTTGGAGTTGTATATTACTTGAAAAAGATGGGTTATAGTAGTTTGTTCAGCTTAGAGCCTTTACAGGGAAAATGTTGTAAAAGTGCAATCTTTTTCTATGTAAACAATATAGAAGATGATGATTGTCCCCCTTTCACAAGGTAATAGTGTCATATTTATAGAGATAATTCTTCTAGAGTTTCTTGTTGTTTCTCTGTCTATCTCTTGCTGATTCTGTGGGCCCCTCTACCTTTGCCTTATAGTGCTCTCTGCTATATGACGCTACTACACCAACGACCCTTAAGCGTTTACGCACACCAACATTTTTTATGGCAGAATGAGCGTGGTCGTTGTGGGTGTCAGAAATGGTCCCCTTGACCTCTGGACACGTGGTGAGATGGGAGTGATTTAGGGTCAACAAGGAGGCTGAGCTTCTTAACTCCGAGCTAACCTCCTTCCGAGTTGTGCTGAAGCTGGGCCGGGCTTCTAGTTGTTCAGGCATTGCTGAGCTTTATCCTTTGGGTGTGTCCCATTTTGATCTTAGTATGGATAAACCATAAGTGAGTTGTTTGAGCTATTCTACNTTTTTGAGAATAGTTTTAAAAAATTATATTTAAATTTTTTATATACAAAATATGTTTAGTTATACCATTCTCAGGTTTAGAACCACATTCAAATGGCCTAAAGAGGGTGTAGAGCAAGTAAATGGATTACAACTGGATAAAACAATGAGAGAAAAGCGAAGACATTATGTAAGTGGTTCACCCTAGTTGAAAAACTAAGGTTACGTCCACTGTAAAGTAATCTCTTGTTCGTTGGGGTTGTATATTACTTGAAAAAGATGGGTTACAGTAGTTTGTTCAGCTTAGAGCCTTTACAGGGAAAATGTTGTAAAAGTGCAATATTTTTCTATGTAAACAATATAGAAGATGATGATTGTCCCCCTTCCACAGGTAATAGTGTCATATTTATAGAGATAATTCTTCTAGAGTTTCTTGTTGTTTCTCTGTCTATCTCTTGCTGATTCTGTGGGCCCCTCTACCTTTGCCTTATAGTGCTCTCTGCTATATGACGCTACTACACCAACGACCCTTAAGCGTTTACGCACACCAACATTTTTTATGGCAGAATGAGCGTGGTCGTTGTGGGTGTCAGAAATGGTCCCCTTGACCTCTGGACACGTGGTGAGATGGGAGTGATTTAGGGTCAACAAGGAGGCTGAGCTTCTTAACTCTGAGCTAACCTCCTTCCGAGTTGTGCTGAAGCTGGGCCGGGCTTCTAGTTGTTCAGGCATTGCTGAGCTTTATCCTTTGGGTGCGTCCCATTTTGATCTTAGTATGGATAAACCATAAGTGAGTTGTTTGAGCTATTCTACCAGTAAAGGCCTTTTGAATCTATTGGGCTTTTGACAAGGATGATCCATATCTTAAATTCTATAATTATCAGTTGTCCCCGGCCCCAAGTCACGAGGTTGCCTGACTTGGGGTTAAAAACATCATTTTCTGACTTTGGCACGACTTTCCTGTGTGACAGTTTCGCATGACTACCGGTGTTGCCTCAGGGCGTGCTGGGTTAACCCGTGTCTGCTATGATGGGACGGTTATGTTTTAGAGGGGCGCACGTGTCACTTTTAGGAGGGTCCTTTGGCACGATTTTTCTCGCACGTTATGTTCCACGTCCTGTCATGAAATAAATGTTATATATAAAAAGAGGGAAAAACTGCTTCGTCTTTCTCACTTCGTGTTTTTGAATTCTCATATCTTCATTTTTTCTTTCCTTCTCCGATTTTTTCGGCGCCTGTTCTAAGTTCTTCGGCAATCTAGGGTTTTTGCAATCGCAGTTCTTTTTCGCTTCTAGCTTTCGATTAGTTACGTTCTTCTTCCATCCTTCTTTTTGTTCGATCTAGATCCCTTCAACCTTCCTTGGTGGGGTTTGGGATTTCGTTTCCTGGTTTGGAGGTTTAGCTATTTCAGGAGCCATTCCAATGATTTTTCTTTCCTTTCACGATTTGTAGATCATTATGTGTTGTTAAGACAAGCCTTACTTAGGACTTGGTGTCAGAAGTCTTTATTCTTAATAGACTGCGTTTTACACTTGCCTTTTCTACATTCTGGTTTACGATATGAGCCAGCAATGAGTAGGGTCGTTTCTTCTTCTGAGTTTGAATTCAAGTAGGAGGTTGACGAAGGTATTGAGGGGGGTTTTCGCGGCTTTTACTAGTGGTCGTTCTGAGGAGGAGGCATATTCTCCTATTGCTGGCGATATATCTGCTGGTGGCAATCGATTTTCGCTTTTCTTAGCAGAGAATTTACAGTTTCTTCCCAAGGAGCCTACTGAAGAGGTTATGGGTTAGCTATTGAGGCTTCAACCTCAGCTTCCCCTTGAAAAAGGTTCCTTTAGCATTGCCCCCATTCCTTCTAGTCGTCCCAAGAAGAGGAAAACTAGGGTGGCCCTGCCTCCTATTCCTAGGAAAAAGACTGGATGAAATCTATCTGACCTGACATGTTGTGCCGAGTTGACTTCTAGTCACCTCGATGACGAGGATTTAGAGGAATTGAGAAAGGAATACCAATTTCTTGAATCTGTATTATTGCACCCTCCCTGTGGAGCATGAGAGTTATAACTCCTCTATTCCTGGGATGACCTGTTTCTTTGAATCTGCTTTCTGTGCTGGTCTCCGGTTTCACGTTCATCCCTTCATCCGGGATATTCTGGTTTTTATAATGTTTGCCCATGTCGGCTTTCTTCCAATGGATGGGGTCTTCTGGTTCGCTTTCTTATCCATTGGTTCGAGAGTGGGAACAATTCTCGTCCCACCATTCGAGAGTTTGCCTACATTTTTAAGCTTAAATATTCTCCTTCTTTGGGCTTTCTGTACTTTGCCAAGAGGGTGAAGGCGAAGAATTTGATTTCTGGGCTCCTGTCCTCTAATAAGGGATGGAAGTCGAGATTTTTTTTTTTATGGGTGACTCCTAGAGCCGTTAGGGGAGCCCGATGATGTCCCCTACATCTCTAGGTTTTGAGGAATTCCAAGAAATACTAGTAATGTTAATTAGCTAGCTATGCTTTTCTCTCTATATTGGTTTTCCTTACTACATAGCTAACTATTGACCTAACCTATAGGTTTTTGTCCGGCTCTTAACGTGTAGGAGGTGGCTAGAGTGGCTAGAGCTGAGGCTTTTGGCTTGCTCAATTTGTCCAAAGTCCAGGGGAGTGGATTCCTTTGCAACCCTGAGGCCGTCATGACTGCTCTGACTGATCTGGTTCCCACATTAGATCCTACAGTGGCCAAGCAGGTTCCTTTTAAGAATAAGACTCATCATGTTATCCGAGCTTGGCTGCGGTACCCTAAGTCTCTTCCTTACCCTTTTCTTCAAAATACTCCTTTCGAGATGTTTTTGTCATTTTTCCACGCTGACTGACTTCTCTTTTTGTTAGTCGCTTGCCTATGTGAGGATGATGGACTTCCATCACGAGCAGGAGCAGATGGAAACCAAGAATTTCGCTAATACCGCTGTGGCGAGTAAATAGGCTGTTGAGGGGAAGGTGAAGGTTTTGATGATGCAGACAGTTGAGCTAAAGAGAATTTATGATGAGCTGAACACCCATTATCAGGACCTCACCAAGCTCAAGGACTCTCAGCTGGAAGCCAAAGATGTCGAGCTCAAAGCCAAAGATGCCGAGTTGGCGGTGAAGGATGCAAAAATGTCGTCTCTAAAGGCTAAAGTATCTCAACTCCTCAAAGAGAGCGTCGTCACCTTTGTGAAGGGGTTTATGAATTTCCAGGAACAAGTTGAGAAGGTTTATCCTAATATTGATCTGGACTCCTTTGTGCCGTGGCTTGAGTCAAAGAAAACNCGCTCTGACCGATCTGGTTCCCACATTAGATCCTACAGTGGCCAAGCAGGTTCCTTTTAAGAA